ATTAACGTTGAAATATGTGCACTTTTTAGTCTTAAAATATTCTATTTTTAAAAGAAAGAAAGGAAATATAGCCCGATTTTCTTGAAAGAAATAAATTCAATAAATAAAAATATCATTTTTCGATAAATATCTTGTATTTATGTTCCTCGTTTCGTTAAAATTCTACTCAATAAATCAGTAGAACTTGTAGAATTTATCGGGTCATGGTCGTCTTTTCTGCCATTAGATACACTCAATGTAACTAGACTTAATATCCATGTAATACAATTCTTTGGTTTATCATAAAAATAAGAGTAAACAGTGTTATTGTTTATTCTGACCTTTAGAATTGTGTTTACACAAATTCAAATGAAAGGCAATAAAATAATAAATCAGAGTGTCATAAAGGACAAGCGTATAGCTTTCTTTTTTTTTTGTTTCTTCAATTTAAAAATCTTTAAAAAACGATTTTAACAATATCAAGCGATTAAAATATATTATTTGGTTGAAAAATTATAATAAATAATTTGTTATTTTCTTAAAATATATTTTTAATTGCAAAAGTTTAGATATGATTAATTTCTTAATGAATAGTGTTTCCATTAAGTATTGCATGATGAGCTTCATTATCCAACAAAATTATAAGAATTTCTGATACTATAATTAAGGAAATGCCGTTGAATCATCAGGAGTGTAATCTTTTACCTAACTGTCTTTGCTAGCTGACTGAACTGCATCATCAATATTACTTGATAAATCAGGAAGAGATATAGAAACGAACACTTTGACAGTTATATAAACTAGCAATAGGAATAATCCGAAAATATTGAGAAATTGGATCAAAAATTTGTTGGTAAATGTTTAACTTGGAAAAAAAAACTATTTCAGAACGAGATAAATGGAAAAGCCTTTACTACCTACAGACTCAGAAAAAAATATAACGAACAATCAAAACAAAAGCACTAACAATCTACAGCACAAGTAATCAATTTATAAATAAATGAAGACAAAAAATACATCAGAAACATTAGTTTAATATTGAAGTTTTTCATCCATTTCTTAACGTTTTTATATCTGGAAACATTTCAAGTTGTCCTTCAAATTAAATATTTTTATGAAATAATAATAAAAAAAAATCACTGATTATAATCATAAAATTTGAAAGTTTCATCACATCAAAAACTCAAAACTGCTTTATTAATAATTATATTTTTAAAAGAATTTAAAAGTTTATAAGTAAATAAACTTTTAATGTAAAAGATGTAGTGATTATACAATAAAAAATTTATTTGTATGTATATTATAAATTTTAAAAAATCTTTGTTTTACTCCAGAACAATTATGAATCTATTTAACCATCACGGTTAAAAAGTATCTTAAAAATTTACTTAAACAAAGCATTTCTTCTATTAACAAATAATTTCGATTTTATTTTTGTTATATCAACAATAAAATAGTGATTAAAATTATATAAATTAGTTTTTCTGATTAATTAATATATAGCAGTATAAAGGAACTTTTTCGAAAATTGCAGAAAATAAATCGAATTTAATATCTATTTATTTACGATTTTCTAATCAGAAAAATTAATTTATTCTTATTTATCGAATTGTATTATTTTTAACGTAATATAAAAAAAACGTAAAAAATACAGATGTATGGACAAAGTTCAATACTTTGTTAAGTATAATTAGAGTTATGTTCAGTGAAGTCATCTTTTGTTTATTTAATAATTTTTTCCAAAGTATTTATAAATAATATCATAAGTATTTTGCTAACAGAATTTATACACATGCTATTAATATATTAATATGTATTACACATTATATTATATAATATAAATTATATTATATATATATATTATAGCATGTTAATATACTCACAAGTATTAACACGCTAACGTAATGTTTACATTTTTTTTCCAAACAAAAAAAAAAGAAAAGAAAAAGTTACAGCAATACCATTTTGGTGTTTGAGATGCACAATTTTCTTTATAAAAATTCTCTACTTGAATCTCTACAAACATTTATAAGTGTATAGAGAACCTTTATTTGAAGCTGTTTTCTTTATCAAACATTTGTATATTGGTCGTTTCCTATAAATTTTCGGGAGAAAACATTATTTGAATTATTAGGTAGCAAACATTAGTTTAATCGATTAATCAGAAAGTAAACCAAAAATAGTAATAATTTAATTTCGGCTTTATCCTCTAGCCTAGGATTTATATTCGTATTTAACCCGTAGGCTTTTTATCGAAATTCTTCGTCGATTTATCATCAAATCGATTACCGAAAAACTAAAGTAAATATTGTAAAATCAGAACTCCATAACTTTTCTAGACATTTATTTTTTACTTTATATTTTATTTTACTGTTACTATAATTCTATATTATAATTAAAATATATTTTTACTTAAAATTCATGCTGCCTTTGTTAACGATCTACTAAAACTTTCGTGTATAGTCCTATATATTTTATTAAGATACACACAGAATATTTATTATATAAATTTTAAGAGCCTTATACAAAGTGTTAAATGTTAAAATGTATTTCAGCATTGCTTATGTATTTGAAAAATTAATCGATTATATAATAACATTTTAAACAGAGAATCTTTAATCAAATACGACACCAACTTAAAATTCTTACGGTATTTTTACATGTAGTGTACTTCTAAGTAAGCAAACCAATGACATTTTCCGTTTCATATGAAAGGAAATGTGTCATTGATTTGCTTACTTAGCTACATGCTCTCTAGAATTTAAAATTATTATGAATTAACATAGGCATGAATGGAAACTGAAAATTTTGAAAATGCTTGTCAAAAACATTTTGAAATATTTCCTTTTCAAATTCAACTAAGAAAGAAACTACTTAAAGAAAATTATATCTTTTTGAAACACTTATATAATGCCTTTAATGTAGTAATATTGCTTAAAATCTTTCAATATTTTACTTAACCAAACTAATTTACATATATAAATATATTTTATACTAAAATATCAAATATTAATATAATATCAAAGTCTAAAATATTATAAAACAATTCAATTTTCTTTGAAAATATTCAGTAAATATGAATTTATAAATTAAACATACATTTAATTGCAATATAATTATTTATATCTGACTTTTCGTTTCATATTAATAGTTTATTTGAAGGACATTTATAATGTAATTTTCTTATGTATCAAATATTGGATTCTATTTTTTAAGTATTTCAAGAAAACTATCGAATAGAAAATCAGGTTATTAATTTACTCTTGAGAAATTTCAATTAGTTATATAACATTTAATTGTGGAAATATAACCAAGGTCAACTTATTGAAATATAAATGAATTCCACATTAAACTATAATATGTGATCTTGTTGCAAAACATTTTCTTCCAATTCTGTTTCAATCAATATTTAAATTAATGATAATAAACATGCTTTAAAAGATGACAAGTGTGAAATTAGAGAATTTATTTCTCGATCAATATTGTTGAAACTATAAATTTTATCAATTCAAACTAAAAAAAAAAAAATATATATATATATATATACATATTTCCTATTTATGTATGTAATTGTTATACACTATAACAACTTGTTAGCAATTATGAAATTATTAGTGGTTATAATATAAAATAACATAAAATAAATTAAAATTAAATTTTCAAATCTTGATTTTAAATAATAGAAAAGTATTCATGTTTATGAAGAGCTATTCTGTTTATTACAAATATAAAAATAATATAATAGTTTAACAATATATTCCTACATAAATATTTATATACAGTCGAACATGAAATAATGGCCGCCACTTGGAAGTGGCCATTTTTTTTTCAGAAACGTTTCTTTTAAAATGAATACAAAATAACATCCAAACAATGGCCATTTTTTATGTTTCCGTCAGTGGCAGTTATTCGAAAGTTTGACAGTAATTCTATAATATACAAAGATCTATAAAATAAAAAATTTCGACTATTTTTTCGATTCAAATACATAGTATATATGTAGGTTTGTACGGGAGATTAATATTAATTAATTCGTAAATTTAAATTTTAAATAATTAACTACGATTTAACGAGAGTTGCATAATAATTAACTACCCTCGTTTAGGCTTTAATATATAGTTAATGTTAATATTTAAAAGTCAATTTTTGATTTATTTTATTTTATTTTATATTGCACTAAATTATATTTAAATTAATAGAAAATTTTTCTCATTAAATTTAAATACATCAAAGATATCAAGCGTTATCAGATTTTAAGAATTTGATCTAAGTGGAATTAAGATGGAAGTTTAAATAGGAAAAAAATTAAACTTCGATATGGGAGAATATTGAAAGTAATAAAGAACTAGAATATCTTAGCTATAAATAAAACAGAATATAGGAGAGCATAAAGCAGTAATGATATCGATAGGCCTTATCGCTAGAATATCTTCATCAGTAATGTATGAAAATGCATTAAGGTAAATTTCTACTGGATAATTTATTAAGTGAGTAAGTTGTCAAGTAGTTATATATTATAAAAAATCAAAACTCTGAACGGAATTTGTTCCAATATGGAAGCAAAATATCGAAAAACTATTTTAAAATCTGTTATATTAAGCTATGTTTGGCAGTTTATGTATAAAAATAAACGATTTTCCATTATGTTTAATAAATTATCACTAGCAACATTTATCCAGGTATTAATATTTACAATAAAAATACGAAACTGGCATACAGATTTAACAATATATGGTAACAATATCTCTACTTATCTCAAGTTAAATTAATTTTACCTTTCCTAAAATCAGGAAAAAAATACAAAGAAAAGATCGGAAGAGGGAAGAAAAAAAATAATATGAAATTTTGGAACATTGCCACACACCAATACACCACATGGTTGAGAAGACACGAATGCAAGTTTGACACGTTACAAAGACTTATTATTTACTTTTATCCTATTAAAACATTATCAACTGGCTAGAAAGTTATTTAAGACATAAATTATTGCGATCTTATTAAAATTATAGGAGAGAACTTACCGACTCGTCAACAGGATGTTGTACGGCAGTAGTGGGCATTCTCTCCGATGACATAACAGTGATTGTCTTATTATAAGTGAATTTTAACGATTATCTTTCGGACAATTGTCTCAGAAAAGGGAAAGAATCAGGTAAGAAGCTCGGCAATAGCGAACAATCTCGTAATCTAGGCGGCCATAATGGATCGAAGCAGTGACTGCGCTAAAGAGAGACAGGAGTCGCTTCGTCCAGCTTCAACTGTTATATTGATGCAATATTGAACACTCATCATTGCGCACATTTTAAAAACATTCTTATTATAAAAAGGTAAAATTGTTTACGTAAACTTAATAATTGGTTTTTGTTATAATAAAATAATTACATAATGATTAAGTGTTGGTCACAGGTTAAATTGTATTAAAATGCATTAAAATGCAACTCTCACGAATACTTTTTAATAACTTATAATCGGTTAAATTACTTCGTGTTGAACCTTATTATTACGTGAAGAAGCGGCAGCTGTAAAAAAATCTGTGTTAAATTTTAAAAGTCCTAAACACGCAACATCTCAAAACTTTTAACTATCTTAGTTAATGCATAAAGATTGTTTCTGCTATTAGTTACGCGGAAGTAATTTTTAAACAATTAAGTTTTCCACACTATAATTTTTTTTTTACTGTAAAGTAAATTAATCTTAGTAATAATTGCAATTTTTACATATGTTTACAATATTGATTAGTTTGATGCCACGTTGGCAATATTCCAACATTCAGCATCAATGAACAAGACTGAGCCGATCCAATCCATCGATGATTTTTGTAAATTATAATGATCTTAGCAAAGTCAAATTTTATTTTCTTGTAATTTATTTCAATAAAAAAAATATATATATATATATTTAATTCAAAAAACATAAAAAGTTTTCTAGAAATTTAAAAAAAAGACATCACACACAAAAAATTTTAATTTATAAAATTTAAATAAATAAATATTTGTGTAATTTTATTTTAAATTCAAGGGAGGAGAAGAAAATTTATATCTATAAAGGGAAGTTTTTAAGTTATTTGTTTGAATGATTAAAAACTTTTAAATGCAATTTTTATCGCGAAATATATTAAGTTTTTATCAGTAAATTTAATGAAAAGAAACAAACTTTAATATTGGAGTTGAGAAAAGCATACGTGTGAAATAGATTTTTAAAAATTCAATTCGCGCTGAATATATATATTTATAAATGGAATTTGGAAAGAGTTTCTTTCTTTCGAAGTTTGCCCACCTTTAAAAGAAGTTAAAGGAGGGGAATGACAAAATTCTACTAAATTTTCTATGCTTTAGCGCTTGGCTCACGTCTCCTCAGCACTTTTTTTTTTTAATATTTCTATCATGTCTACACGCAATATTCACTCCGTAAGAAATAAAGATGGCATTATCATCTATACTTAACCAAAAAAAAAAATAATTTAAAAAATAGATTATCTTAAACTTGGCACTGGACTATAAGAATTTAACTATAGCGTGTTCTATGAAACACTAAAATATTAATGCTTTTAAGCATAACGAACAGTGCAATGTGTCCAGTAAATAATATATTTTGTGGGTGTAAATATATCGAAGCAATTTATTTTTTTACGATATATTTACATAAAAAAGTAAAATGAAAATACGAAAAGAAACAAATATAAAATATACTAATTTATGTATAATATAATTACAAAAATGAGTTGTTTTCAAGGAAAGAATAGAAATAAATTTAAATTAAATAACAAAATTCATTAAATAGATTTAAAGAATTGTAAACTTCTGAATACATTCTGTGTAAAGTATTGTATTCGAGTTAATAGTTTATGAATATTAAATATATGTCGAATACTCTATAATGCATAGAATGCATTTAATGAAATGAATAATTAAAAGAAATACATTATTGAATTCAAATTATAATTAAAGATTTAAATGAATTTATAATCAAATTATACAATGAACGGTAATCCATTTTACAGGGTTTAAGAGAAGATGGGATAATATATTATTGTATTACAGTGAAGTAACTCAAAATTTGGGTGTTAGAAAACTATAATTCAAAAATATTATGATTTATTAAAAAGTTGAATATTTCTTACGTTAGATCAAAAATAGAAATTATATAAAATCCCTTAATCTTTTATTATTATAGTATTAGTGTTTTAAGTTGAAGAGATATTGCCGTCATCTTTGGCACGTTTTTATGGTATTAACGACTATTTATTTATTTGAAATCTGACATTCATGGTGTTAGATTATGCGTGTGAATGTCAAAAGGTTTTTTTATTTCTATTAAATATTGTTACAAGTACAATTTTTTTAATTACTGCAATTTATTAATAAATATTGTGTATACGCTTTCCAAGTTTAAGAAGAATTATAATAGAATCAAATATTAAATTTTTCATAAAATTAACTTTAATATTATTTTTTATTTAATAATAATTAAAGAATGAACGATTTTGAATTTTCAAACTACAAAGTTTTGATTAATTTTTTTGATTTTTTTATGTAATAAGTTTCATAATAAAACTTAGTTCTTGTTGTCTCGATTTACCTTATTATTTATAATTTAAATTTTCTTCCCTGGCATATTATATTTAAAAAAAGAATATATTATTACAGAGAAACGAAAAGTAATTTATAATAAATAAAAAAAAATGTTCATTGTCATTATAATTTTCTTCGTAACACCAAAATAAAATCAGATAATTTAATTGGATAATAAATTAAACCCTCGATTTAACGAATCTCGATTCAACTGACAAAAAATTCAGAAATAGTTTTTTTTAAATTCGTGATAGAACACGCTAAAAGATAAGTCAATGAGTATTTATTTATTTTATTTTATTTATAAAGAAAAGTCACTGTGGCTATTAGGCTTGTTTCAAATGTCTACAGACAAACCACAGAAAAAAAAAAAACTTACTTTTGTCAATATACTGTAGATTATAATAATATTTTATTCATACTTATAAATTATAACAACATTTTAATATATCTTGTACACTGTAAATTCGTTATTAATATAGTTTTTAAAATACATTCGATTTAACGAACTTTTGGCAATAGCGGTCATTCCTTCCCCAATTAGTCAGTTAAATAGAGGGTTAATTATATTTTGGAAGAAATTATATATTCGGATCTTCGAATAACTGCAAATGCCAAGACAACAGAATCGTTGAAAAATATAAAATTCACATTAAAAATAATAAAAGGAGAGAATTTAAAATTTGTTTTTTAATATTACAATCAAATAAAAAAAACACTATAAATTGAATTGAAGAAGATGAGAATGAAAAGATTGAAATATTTCGTTATAATATATTTTTAATATTTGAATATTTCTAAAATGTTTTATTTTCATTGCGTAGGTCTTTTAAATGAAGTACTTCTGCACAGTACTGGCATCTGCTCATAAACAATGTGAACGTCATTGGTTGGTTAGTACTTAAACATTCATCGCTTGTCTTTATTACCTACTCGTTTGAGAGAAGGAAGCTAATACACGAAAAGAATAAAGTTGCTTTAAAGGAAGACATAATTTTCAATTAATTATAAATGGCGTCTAACAATATACAAAGCGAACAAGAAAATGGAGTCAGAATTTTATGTCTTGTATATGATACCTTTCAGCAGAAGTCCTATATAATAATATTAATTTAATTTAATATTTAATTACTTGATTTACTCTAATAGTACAGTTAGCAGATAATATTATTGAGATTTTAATGGATATTGGTTTTAAAAATATATGAATCTCGCAAAATCATTCTAATTTCTTCATTATAATAACGAAATTGTCGAATTTTAATGATATAATAGAAAGAAAATATTTTTTAAAGTAATGATCTTCTCCTTCTATTTATAGATTATAAATGAAAAATTTACAATCAAGATCAATTACATCAGATAATATGACTAATGATTGGGATAAGATTAAAATAAATGATACGCCATTTTAAGATAGAAATCTTAGATTGTAATACCGTAAATTGTGCCCATTTATTATAAGAAATTTGTTGCATTTTCAGGTAAAAATAAGCTTTTTTGTGTTTAATCTGTAGATTGTTTTTCATGATATTTTATTAATTGAAGTGCATTTTGATTAGCCACTTCAAAACAGTTGCAATCGATTGTCTTTAGAGTTTCTAAAACATTAAAAAAAGATCTGAATAAAATACAGAGATAATAATTTATTATTCTAACAATTAATCTCATTTTATCAGAGCGAATATGATTGAAATGTTTCATCAATTTCAATGAGAATCGCCCATAGTCATGAATCTCTCATATAGCAAGTTTAAATTATGGATATAAACTGTACATTGCTCCTAATAAATGAGTCAAATCCTCTGAAATACAAGTATATGTTCCATAAAATTAAATCATTCAATGATGTTACTATATGCTTCGTGTAGCCCATAATTTAACAGACAATACTCTCGATGTGTGTATGTATTATATGCTCATTGTATGTTTATATACTATAATTTACTGGATTCAAATGAATTAATTGTTAACTAAGCAAAAATACACGAAATAATGAACCATTCTGTTTCGTTTCTTTCAGCATATACTTTTGCTTTTAAGAAAAATAAACGATTGAAAAAAATGGATGAATTTCTTTGGTCATAAAATAATCTTAAAGATATTTCTGAAAATTTAAAATTTTCTATTTAAAATAGCAATATTTAATTTTACGACAATGGAAAGCGATTTTTAGCACTTGGCTCATTTCTTATATTTGTCTTTTAGTTTTTTTAATTTTCAGAAATAATTGAAGGAAATGCTATTTTTCTTGCTCTTATGAGTTTTATAAGTGATACATAAAAGTATTTTTATAACCTAGAACGAGAGGAGATCTCATAAAGAAACACTTTTACTGATTTTTCTTACTATTTCTTTCGATTTAAAACTGCTAAACAAATTTTTAATTTTAAAAAGATATTTCTGCAAGGATAATATTCAATTTAGTATTCAAAATAAATAAAATTCTAATATTTAAATAAAGAATATTTTATTTAGATATTTTTTCAACATTTAGAAAGTTTATTTTAGCAAGAAATTCACTTTACTAAAATAGAAGTTGGATATATTTAGATAAGAGGTCAATTTATTATTACAGAAGTTTCGCTTTTAGTTGAAAATGGACGATTGTGAAAGAAATCGAAAATTATTTTTTTATAATAACGATTTATTTAAATAATTGAGATTTTTTATTGTATAAATAGAAAAATGTATATGGATTCTAAGGCAAA